TGACTGCCACGGCCACTGCCCATCTGCAGGCCTGGCGAGATTTAACACTGTCACTGCACAGATGAGACCTGCAGACCTTGATCTCCCTCCAGGGATAGAAAAAGAGTGATGACACATAAAAAGACAAAACACCAAGGTCAGTAAAGAAAGAGTCAAGCCTCAGATGGAAGAAGAATGAGGAGATGCCCTAAAGGGGCTGAAATAATCCTTTTGGTAGGGCCAAGGAGATGGACAATGATACACTGAAATATCTCCTTTAATTCATGAGACAGTATGGGGAGATGAAGTATTCAAACTGTAAATGTGAGCAGAGGCATCCATTGATGAAGCCAAGCCGATGTTAGAGTAGCTGTGATCCCATGAGAAGCTTGAACAGAGAGAGAAATGAGAGTTGATGAAGACCCTTGGCCCACAGGGAGAGAAGAAGAAAACCTCTGTTCCCAGAGATGATCACAGAGACAGATGGAGAGAACCTTTGCCTTTGAATAACTCAAACTAATACCTCATGAGTTCACGGCCCATGGACACACCTCTAGGAGGGCTGTGAAAATGGGAGGAATTTCACATTGCAGAACTTTTCCTGGATGGCTGCTATTCATGGAAATGAAAAGCCATGAGAAAACTGTTTCTTGTAGAGAAGTCTCCACAGTATGACAAGAGAAAACTCCTCTCCCTACAAGGACTGATGAAAGACTATTGTATAGTTGGTACTGCTTTAACATCCCGGGTTTTGTCTTTATGTGGTCAGTTGAGAAAGGAAAGAAGTTGGGCAGGGGGAGAAAAGGAAGTTTTACTCTGATGCTTCTTATTCTTGTAGTCCTGTTAATAAAGTTTCTTTATACCTTTTAAGTTTTAAACCTGTTTTGCCCTTCTCCTGATCTATATCTCACAGCAAGAAATGAGTAAGTGCCCTGGTGATTTCAGCCAAGGCTAAAACCCACCACAATATTTGGTGCATTGGCTGAGAAACTCAAATTGGCAAATCTAAACCACTACACCTATAAAACCTATATTGAAGTATGATTTTTTTTTTTCCTGCTACAAAACAAACTTAACCCACCTCCCTGCTCTGACTAAAGTATTAGCTTCAAGTTACTCACCCCTCCTAATGCACCACCACCATCTGCTCCTGGCATTGATTCCACTGAGCTGGTGCTGGCTATCTGAGGAGAAACAGAATGACACAGAACAGATTCAACATGGACATTCTTCCTCAAATATATTAAACACTGAAAAAACCAAACCAAAAAAAACCCTCCCAAAAACCCAAAAAAATCCCACCAAAAAAGCTCCCCCCAATAAAAACCCAAAACAAAACAAAAACCAAGGGGGGGGAAGAAGACTTTGCTTTCAGCCCCTCAACTCTTTGCTTGTGAGCACAGTTTAATTCAGATTGCAGAATCATAGAATGGTCTGAGTTGAAATGGACCATAAAGCTCATCTTGTTCCAGCCCCCTGCCATGAGCAGGGACACCTTCCCGCAGCCCAGGTGCACATGTTGCACATGTGCTCAGTTACCCTCAAATATGAGGTGGGTTCTGATGTGGATGATTTTACAGATGGCACTGAATTGCTGCAGAAAGCCAGTGCCATGGTTTGAAGGACACTTCTCTATTGGAGCCTGCCAGACAGACCAGCAAGGGCTCTGTGAAGGCACTTTATTCTGAGAGGAACAAAATTTATTCCATTAAAACATCACTCTGCTAAGTTTCTCTTCTTCACAATACATCTCAGTCCCTAAATAAATGCAAAGTGGCATTTCCATTTGTTCAATTATAGTGATGTATATGTACTAAAGTCACATAGATTTTTGTATATCTATATATATTCATATAGAGTTCATATATAATATTCATATATCTATATGTATGCCATACATTCAGATATATACACATTCAGTAGTATTCAAAACATACAGAGGGCAAATAACAAGCTTTGTACATTAAGTACCAAAATCATACATTCTAAAAAGAAAGGAAAACCACCTTATCTATAATTAATTTACAGGGAGTTTGCTAGTTTACACGGGGTTCTCAAACTATTAGATTCTTTATGATAAATTCTCCTGTTATTCCCATAGATAATTCTTCCTCTGCCAATCAGACAACATCTCTAATTTCAAGATTATCCAAATGGCCAGTGCATTTTGGCTTCATTTCGTTCTCAAGCAAGAAGGTTTAATCCCTGTTTAAGTGGCCTAATTGAAGATCTATTAATTCTGATGCCTCACTGGATCTATTTATATTCTAATATAATCAATCAACTCTCTAGAACAAGGAAAGGAACATATGCATCTCCTGGGGCCAGGGCTGAGTCGACCTAGAGCACTTCTTCAGGGAATTTGACTGAATTAAGGGAAGCACCACTACTCAGCTCTAATTACCTATTTCTGCCTCTGAAAAAACCCAGCAAACCTAAGGCATTCACATCATCAGTTCCTCTGTCCTCCCTGCAAAGGGGGTTCTTTTCACTGGAATCCTAATCATCCCAGTGTTTTACTCTGCCTAGTAAAAGGACATCTGTGCACTGTGATGGGTCTTGGAAAAAGTAATGTGGGGAAAAAGACATTTTCTCCACAAGAAATGTGGAGGAAAAAAACACAGTTTGAAGAAGAGCTCGAGAAAACCCCCAGCAAATTTAGGGAAGAGTAAATTTGTCCAGTTGCCTATTCAGATCCCCATGTCTGTCTGTTTATTTGGAATAATGGGCTGAAAATCACATACCCTCTACTCTTACCTGGAAAATATTTCAAAAGGGCTTCTCCCTGTTAAGTTACCATTACCACTCACAGTGTCTCAAATCTGGTAAGAATACAGTTATTGACATGTTTGTCAGAACCACCCCAGATCTATGGGGAAAGAAACAGCAGAGGGAAAAAAAGATGATTCAGCATCTAATATTCATGATTTAAGTAACAGATGCAGTCTCAGTCTCAAATCCTAGGGATGCCACTTCCACAGAGCTCAGCTCTCTGCAGCACTTTTCCTTGCTAGCCTTCCAAGACTGCACAAGCTGGGTCCATCACCACACCAGGAGCCTCCAGCTCTTCTGTGATGAAGAAACAGTAAAAGAGGTCCTTTTCCTTGGGAACATTTTTAGACAGCTTTTAAAAACACCTTTCACATAGCCTGGAAATGCTGCAGGTAAAAATGGAGAAACTAAACCACAAGGGAACCTGAAAGCTTTCTAAAAAGACTTTTTGAAAAGACTACTGCTACCATTACCCTGCCTGGCACTGACTGGCAATTGCCCTCCTGACAGCTGAGAGTTCATTAATTGCTGAAGACCTGCACTGGCATAATCTTAAGAGTAGGTCAAATTTCACATCTCTGCACCTCCCAGAAAGCATAAGTTTTCTGTAGGCAGATTTCAGGCTGACACCAACCCTGAATGCTGATATGAGCTCATGTGAGTCAGCAGGGAAACACAAACATGGTCAGAGTTGCATGCACTGGACATGAACTGCAACCAGTCCTAAGCATCGTAACAGAGAAAATACATGGCCAAGGATGGGAAAAAAACTATTTGACTCTTATTTTACAGGCTACTTTCTAGTAGCTGTTACAGATTCAGCCAGGAATCCACAAGTGCATATCTGTTTCTTGACACATGAGAGGTAAAAAAAGGGTTAGTTTTTCCTCTGAAGCTGCTGCCCAGTATTCCATAGATGATATGTCTGGTGGATGCTACCCAGTGCAGCGTACTGCAGTTAGAATGTTCTCAGTATTTGTCCAGTTTTCCTTACAGAAAAACTTTCAGCTCATTTCAACTGACAGCAATTACTGTCACATTTAGCTGCGACATCAGTTTCAAAGATGATTATTTAGAGAAGCTAATCTCCTAAAAATGCAGGTTAGTATTCTGGCATTAAAGAAATTACAGTACAGACTGCATTAATATCACAGCCAGGGATAAACCAGACTCCTGCTCTGTTTGGCTTTTATGAAGTGTATAATTATGTAGCTACACCATGAACACAGGAGCAAAATCAAATTGAATTTACAAAGCAAGATGGTAACAATGAACTTGACCAGATGCTGTTTCTTAATTACACAGAAAGAAGTGTGCTTATTAGTTAGCTTACTAGCAAAAGATTTTTTTCCATCAAAACATCCTGGCTCTGAATGAAACCATGAGTTAATAGAAAAATAATGGCATGAATTGATTATTTTCTAGTTTTTTTCCCAAATATTTTTAGCTGATGAATATATCAGGATAAGTAAACTATGCCAGATTCTGAAAATGGATCATTGCTGGTTGCTATCAGTAGAAGGATTCTAGACTCTATGGAGCGTTGAGATCTTCACTGCCAATCTGATTATGCTGGGATGAAAGGGATATTCAGCATCTCTCCTGAGGCCCCTGGGAAATCAGTCAGATAAAAAAATCCAGATTACTGAGTCACCAAATCAGTCCTGAACCTCCAAGGAGAGATGTCAAAAATGGTTAGGTACCAAAACAAAAAAAAAACAACCCTAAACAATTTTGGGAGACAGGGGAGGAGGAAGATAAAAAGCTCCGAAGTTGAATCCCTGCAGATGGCCCTTCTCTCCCTCTGCTCCAAGATCCACCATGTCTGAAGTCTTAAAGTCACAGACAGCACTGTATGATATATCTAAATAATTTGCTCTCCCAAGCCCCATTCCTCTTTAGTTTGTAGCAAATGCCTGTGGTTATCACCATCATTTTCAAGTTGAATGGAGAGATGCTGTCCTGATGTGAATACTTGTAAAACAAAATTCCTAGCAAACACAACACAGTGATTCCTTATGGCTGTAGAGAAACAATTAACTTTCAAGACTATTTTACATATTTAGTTGAAGAGTATTTTTCTGAAATACATTTACTGTGCGTAAGGCAGGATTTTAAGATCCTTTTAAAATGTGTCATTTTCCTTCCAAGTCTTTAAAATATTTTAAATAATAATAACATCAAAGCAATAATCCCAAACTATGTCTGTGACAAGATGGGGAGAAGTAATGAACAAAACCTCCCAGGGACACAAATAACATTCTAGACAGCTAAGCACTTGTAACATTGAGGAATTATACCTGTTCTGCTAAAAAAAAGCCACCAGCCTGGAAAACATGCCTGATGGGTCTTGGGCATTGAATAGTCCTGGGTAATTTATTGTGTATCTGCATGGCTGAGTAGCTGTGACTGATACACATCTGAGAGCCAGAGAAATGGAGATGACTGCCCTGTAATGTCATATAAAAATCCAGAACAAGACTCCACTAATTTAAAGGTAGCTGTGCAGTTCTTAACTGTTGGTAAAATTGTTCTGGCAAAGGAGAATGAAGCACTGGTACTTACTGAGGAATCAGGAAGATGCTCCTCCTCTTGTGAAAAAGAGCTATTGAAAGCTCTGAAGGTCTCACTGTTCTGTTTGTGCTTTTCTATTGTGGCTTGAATGACCTGAGACAAAAATGTCAGCAAAGATGAGAAGCATCACAAAAAAAATTTCCCTCATAGGAAGATAGGTAGGATTATCATTTGGTGAAAACCCCTTACACTTGTATAAATGAAAGGGAAACTTAAAAACCTTAAGTGGTGGTGCTAAACCCATTATTGTTTCAGTTAAAAACAAAGACTGCCATCAGACAGTGTCTCTACAAGTCAAACTGGAAGAATATACAAGTTCTCTTTTCATACTGGGCTTGAGGAATGCAGGAAAGGGAAGCCCACTGGAGCCCTCAGATACTTTCTGGGGCCAACTGGTCAGCACTGGGACCCTGACTGAGCTCCACACTTCTCCACGAGCAGCTCCATCAGACTGGCCCACCCAGCTTCCCTGCACAGCCACATTAATTCAGAACCCCAAAATGATGATTTCAAATGCTGCCTGCATGGTGATTCCCTCCTTATCAATGGTGCTTTGTACTAACATGAATCCATTCCCTCTTCTCCTCTTCTGTCCTGTTAAAACATAAGAAAAATAGAGAAAACATCATCATTCTACTTAGAGTATTTTCAGTAAATTCAATTCCCAGCTTCACAGCTTTATATTCCTTATATTTTTAGCTTTGCTATCCACTATTTTATAAACATTATTGAAAATTATTGACAGTAATTATTACCAAATGCCAAAAATACTTGAGTTGTTCACACAGTGGACCCTACAAGCACTATTATAAACACTGTAAGCATTCAATAAAGGCAAGCAACACACTTTGACTTAGGACCAACATTCTCTTACATGTCCAAGGTACCCACCTCTGCTGCTCACCTTGTGATTTAAAGTTCTGTCACACTAGCACAGCCCATAGATCAATTTCTCCAAACATATTCACAAACCCTCAAAGACAGAACAAGTACCATACCTGGCTTGTAGTTCCAATGATCTCTTTTTTCCTGTTATGGAAAATGTATGGGCCACATTTTGCTTGGCAATTTCTTGGACCTGTAAAAAGCACATCAGCTTTTTACTCATTGATCTTGTCTTTCCAACTTTTTTAATTACTTACGAATACAGTCATTCTTTGGAATGCTTAGTTGAAAGGATCATTTGGAATAAAGTATAGAAATAGAAAAAATAAGGGACTGTTTCCATAGTTACCTGTCTTGCTACAAAACTTTTGGGTGTGTACCACCAACAAGAGTCCTAAAGCAGTAGGGGGAGAAGGTGGCTCCTGTGCCAGCCAGGGTACAAGGTAACTCTCTCAATCCAAACATGTCACACAGTCACCATTATTCTGCTCTCCTCTGAATGATTCTTATAAAAATTTTAAAAACCCAACTGTCAGAGACTGAAATGCTGTAATTTATGTCTTAAACATATTCATGAAAGACTTTGGCCTGTTATAGCTAAACTGTACAAAAGCTGCAGAGAAAACCACCAAAACCCTGACTGGAGCCCTACACTGCTAATGGATGAAGATAAGATGAAGTGACTCAGGGGAGAAGACTACATTCACAGAGGGATCAAGCTTAGCACCTTGGGGTGGAAGCCACAGCCTTGGGACTATCAGCTGCCAGGCTGGAACAGACCCTCTCACCAAAGGGTGGGGGTAGGAGAGGTTTTGGGTGTGTCTGGAGGAGGTCTCTGATCAGACAGTGAATGCCCATCCTCAGCTGCACAGAGGAGCTCAGCTCTGGGCCCCTTCACCCTGGGAAAAGCTGCATCCACACGAAGGACAGCAGAGTCATGGCCCATTAAAGCCCCCCCAAAGAGGTCCCCAGACCCTGCACCAGAGATGATTTGACAGATCATAGAGTTGCAAGGGACAGCATCAAAGTTGCCCTCCCCACCAGAGGCACGTGAGCATTCCCACCTGGCCCAAACCACTTTATTAATCCACTGGATTCCATACTTTTCAGCAATGCGTGGCATGGGGACCACCAAGAAGAGCAGATGGAGGGGAGCAATGCGATGCTGTTGGGACCCTGGGAAGGGTGATATGCTTCTACCTAACCCCAGTCACCCTCTCCCTGTCCCCCCACCTGTGCACACCTCTTCTTCTATTTCTTTCCTTCATTTCTCTTAATTTCTCTTAGCCTCCTTTTGCTGTTAAATAAAATACATCATTTTTTTTGGCATCAACATCTAACTTTGTTTAGTTTTAATAAGTTTTGGAGTATATTTTGAACCTTTCTGGGTTCAATCCATTTTATTCACAGAGGCTTAGCTTCCTCTGGTCTTCTGTGTTAAATCGGTTCATAACATCAATCAACCAAAAAAACCCAAAAAGAGATAGAATCATAGAATCATTAAGGTTGGAAAAGATCTTTAAGATCCTCAAGTCCAACCATCAAAACAGCACCATCACATTCACCACAAAACCACTTATGCTCCAAACCCTTCCCCAGCTGTGTTGTGCCTCTCTGGACACACTCCAGCACCTTGAGGTCTTTCTCATAGTGGAAAAGCTGCACTGATCCAAAGTGATCCAAAGCCAGGTTTGAGAATTTTATTATTTTTTTTTTTTTTACATTCACATAATGTTACGTGTTTGGATTCAGCAGGGATCCAAAGCTATCAAGGTGCATTAGAAAGTGGGAAGAGATGCAAACCTGCAGTCCTGCAATGTCCATCTTCTCTCGGACACTGAACTTCTGGCCGATCAGCCTCAGTTTTGGCACACAGTACAGCACCATGCTGTTAAACTGAAATGAGGCAAGAGTTTAGCTTAGGCACTTACATGCTGCACACAGCCTGCACCGTCAAACTTTAGGGCTCTGGTGAGTTTTATTTTAAGACATAGTTCTCAAGAAGAGATTTAAGGTGAGAGTGGGGCTGATGGATCACTATTGATAGAAGTGGGCAGACACAAACACATCAGCCAGTCACTTCTCCCTTCTGCCCCTCTCTCTGAATTTGACTGCCATAAAAGAGCTCTTCTCCCAGGGCCAGTGAGAGCTGGCCATCTCCTGCAGCAAGGTGGTTTGGCAAGAAACCACCTCCTGTGGCACTCAGCCTCTGAAGAGGGAGATGGAAAAAACCCCTTTGGGCCTGACAAGGCACCAGCAAAGGCACAGCATGGAAGAAAAAAAGAAATTTTTGAGGAAAAAAGCTAGAAAACTGCTGCTTAGAAGGGGTAGCTGGGCTCAGCTGGTGAATGCTTTTTTGTCTTTAAGCTTAGGAAGATGGAAACATACCACAGAATCATAGAGTCAAAGGATGGTTTGGGTTGGAAGGGACCTTAAAGCCTATCTCATTCCACCCCCTGCCATGAGAAGGGACCCTTTCCACTAGACCAGTATGCTCTAAGGCCCATCCAAGCTGAGCACAACCCTGAAAATAAAAGAGCAACTAAAACACTCACCAGGAATAAATACCTATCCTGTGCTGTGCCATTCTTTGCTGAAAGTTTCTGAATGTGTCCTTCTTTAATGAGCTCATTGGCCGGGTTAACAATATCCTCTTCACCACCCAGGCGCTCATAGACTTCCAAAAGCTTGTGCATCTTTTCCTGCAGGTACAAACCCCCATCAATTTAAATTTTAAAAAATTATTCCATGTGGTCTATTGCCCACCATTTAATTTCTCTGGTAAGTGTATGTAAGTTGAAAGAAAACTGTCTTCCACTTCCACTGTAGCTTTGCATTTATATTAAAACCTGTTGCATACTCTTCAGTGCTATTCCCCACTCTGGATTGGTCATACTGGATTATTTATACTTGGATTGTACTATTTATTGACATTTTGAGATAAATTTATTTGATACTTTTAGACTATTACCATTCAATAATAAATGTGTATCATAGAACCATAAAGGTTGAAATAGAACTCTAAGATCAAGTCCAAATATTAATCTTTGGAATTTTAGAAGCAATGTCCAATAAAATCAATGGCCAAATTGGAGACCTGTACTTTACCAAATAACAGAAGCGTGGTTTATTTTTCCTACTGCACCACAACAGGAGTAAACAGCCAACAATTAATTCAACCCTCCACTAACTTTTGGAGATTTTGCTACAGCATTCACTTTCCTTTCAGTCTGGCTTGGACCTCAAGCAGCAAAATTTTTAAAGTAGCCTTTTCCAATGGGTTCTTGTGTACTAACAGAAAAAACAACCAACACAGAAACCAATGAGCCAAAGAGTTGTTTCATATTCCTGATAACTGCAGAGATACTGTACACAGCCCCCAGGAAAAGTTGTTAACCAGAAAAATTTCCACCAAAATATATCCTTATCAAGAGAACATGCCAGACTCAAATAGAAACAGATGGTTTCCTCACTGTGTTTTCAGACATACTGACAATACACAGACATCAGCTGGTTACACAGACATAGCAGCCACAGGAAACGTGGTCTCATGGTGTCCCCACCAGCTGGGGAAGCAAATACAAACCTTGTTTCCCCAAATATTCAATGGGTGCTAAGACAGATACACAGCATTTCAGGTCTGTTTGACACAAAATGTCCCGAGACACCCGGGTGCACCAAAGGGATAACATCTGCAGCTATAAAGCCCATTTATTTTAATGGTAATGCACTAGTTTTTCTACATGTAAAACATGTGCTAATGTCCAAAATCTCCATCTCTGACTACACAGCTTTTGAAGCACCATTTTCTGAAGCTACTGATGCATGCAAAATGCACATTCTGTGCACTTAAGATGAGCCAAAATCAAATCAAATCAACCTTCATTCTGTTGAAGAACTGTAGGACTAAAAAAACCAGTGTGAAAATCTGCAAGGACACCTTGTGAATGGGCCTAATCGGAATACTTTCAACACTTTTCAAGGAAAAGCAAATAATGTCTTTTATGAAGACTTCCTTTTTCAACTCATTAGGTCCTTAAGAATGAGGGAAGTGAAATTTAAGCCCAAAAAGCCACAGAAAACTGCCTTCACAATAAAAAGAACTCAGACACCCAACACATGTTGAAAGCCTGACTGACAGTCAGATATTCCTCTCCAGTTACTGTACTGAGCCTGTTGCAATGGGAGGCCCTCAGTTCAGCCAAATGTTTCAGTCAGATCACAATTCCATTCTGGAATTGCTACTCACCATCTTCCGGATGGCTGCATTGGAATGGTTTGCTGCTGTTGATATCAGCTCCAGTGACTCTGCAATAAAGGTACCAATAGTTAAGCATTCTCTAGATTATATCTTTTAATAGCACCTTGGGGGATGGGTTCACCTCTCTGAGAATTGTTTTTCCTTCAAAACTGATGATACATAAGCAATTATAGACACAATCACTTCTGCCTGTTCAGCTGATCTATGTTTCATCTTTCTCTCCTAAAAATCTAGATGAGCCAAAGCACACAGTGACAAAGAACCCATCACCAGTCTTCCCAAGCATATTTTTAAGACTGTTTTCCTAAAATAGGGCTTGCCTGCTTATGGTGACATGGACCCTGCTTTGGCTGAGATCAAAAACTCCTCGTTATCAAGAGAAGTCCATTTCTCCTGTTTCACCATATAAATACAGTCTATCTGGCTTTCTTGGCAAGAAATACACATTTAAATACAATACAAATTTAAAACCATTCCTCCTTTCTTCCTCTGGCTACTGCAAGGATGTCCTCCTGTCTTTGTCCTTAGCCACATAACTGATTAAACATTAAAGTGTTAGATGCTCTACTATAGCAAACTTGAACATATTGTTGCTGTTTATTTGCCAAAGCTGCTTTCATTCCTAGAGCAGGCATTCCAACCCTTTTCTTCTCAACTCCAAAAGCATTCCAAATCCCTTTGGAAAAAATTTGATTAATTCAAATCTCCATTTCTACCATTGTCCTGGTTGTAAGTATCTGAACATGTGAAGAAAAAACTGCCCAAGATTTCATTGTGCTGTTAGACAGAGAGGAGTTTACATGTACTTTCAGCATCTTTCCTGTCTGGAGATTCTTCTGGAAGTTTCTTTAAGTAGTCCTTCAGGAGAAGCTCATAACGAGGAATCCTTTGCACTGGTTCAAGCATGTGATGCTGCAAAGTCAGGTTTCCACACACCTCCTGTTTCTGTAATGCAGAGAAAACAAGAACAGGAGGGGTTTGTTTCTTCCCTGCCTTTGGTGTTTAACAGCAATGAAAAATGACCATTCACATAAAACTAGAGGAGTGTACAGGAGCTTCTCAAGCCATCACGGATCAACAGACTCATTCGATTGGAAAATACCCTTGAGATGATAAAGTCCAAACATAAACATAACATTGCCAAGGCCACCACTAAATCGAGTCCTCAAGTACCACATCTGCATGTCTTTTAAATTCTCCAGGCGTGGTGATTCCACTACTGCCCTGGGCAGCCTGTGCCAGGGCTGGACAACCCTGTCCATCATGAAATTATTCCTAATATCCAATCTAAACCTTCCCCTGGCACAGCTTGAGGTCATTTCCTCTTATCCTGTCCTTTGTTTCCTGGAAGCAGAGCCCGACCACCCCTGGCTCCACCCTTCTGTTGATACGGGAAAATTGTATGTTTATGAAAATTCAGAATTTTAAAGGCACATAAAGTGTAAGCAGGTGGAGGGAGACATAAATATAGCTTATTTTAAAGGCAGAAACAACTTGTAGCAAGAACACATAGGAATGTAACTTGTTAGGTAGAAACAGCTTGTAACAGAACACAGATGCTAGGTAAAGGCCATAAAGGTAAGTTGTATATTGTGAAAACCCCATATAGCAAAACCTGTGGTTTAAGAAGCCAGCAAGAACCAGGCTTCTAGTTTTGTCCAGGGCAAACTGACCTGGGAGAAAGCCAAACCCCCACTGCCCCTGCCCAGAGACAGAGGTCAGCCAGTGAACACTGAGGAAGACGTCTTTACTTCATCAGAAGACATCTGCTGCTGACCTCCAGGAGGTGTGGCACCGCAGAAGACTCATTATAATCTGAAGCAGGAGGTGGAGAATGGGCAGGGAATGGGTGGGTAGGGAGGTGTGGGCTTGTGGGATCAATATCTAAACCTGAAACCTGTCTCCATCACAGAGGTGTGTATGGTGGATGATGCCCTGTGTCCCAGCTGGAATAAAGCATACTGCTTTACAATTTTAATTGTAAAGTCCTTATTCCACTCATCACTGTCAGGGAGTTGTGCAGAGCCTGAAGGTCCCTCCTGAGCCTCCTTTTCTCCAGGCTGAGCCCCTTTCCCAGCTCCCTCAGCCCCTCCCCAGCTCCGTTCCCTTCTCTGGACACGCTCCAGCCCCTCGAGCTCTTTCTTGTTGTGGGGGGCTCCAAACCGAGCCCAGGATTGGAGGTGGGGCCTCAGCAGTGCCCAGCACAGGGGGTGGCACTGCCCTGCTCCTGCTGCCACAGCGGGGCTGGAACAGGCCAAGGTGCCCTGGTCCTTCTTGCCCAGCTGGGCTCCTGTTCAGCTGCTGCCACTGGCACCCCCAGGGCCTTTCCTGCCGGGCCCTTTCCAGCCCCTCTGGCTCAGCTGGGAGCTGCAGGGGCTCTTGTGACCAAGGACAGGACCCAGCACTTGGCCTTGTTCATCCTCAGACCACACTCACATCCAGCCCCTCCAGATACGACTGTGGAGCCTTCCTGCCCGACATCAGGTATCAGAGCTAGCAGGTTCTATGTGAATCTTCATCCCACGTCTGGTGATTTCTGCTGATATGCAACTATCTTCCAGAAGGCTCAGAAAAGCTCTTCCCATCCATGGCCCTGTGCAGCACTGTTCTCCCAAATACATGAAATTAGAACTCCCCCAGGGATGTATTGCTTGCCAGAGCTCACTGTATGAGCAGCAGACACACTGCTCACACACCAGCTTTGAAAGGCAGAGCTCTCTCAAATTCTACTTCTTTTTCACTAGGCCAAGAAGGGGAGGAGATTTGAGTCTGATTACACTAAACATCAACAACTAAACCTGTATAAGGCACCGAGGTGCTCTGCTTACAATGGCACTGAGTATTGCAGGGTACTTGCTTTCATAGGGTCCTGTGAAGCAAAAGAGTATTTCTATTTAAAAGAGGAGAGATGACAATCTCAGTAAGAATCAGTTACTTGCTTTAAAGCACACAGGAAGTTTCTGCTAGCTAAGTAATCTGACTCCACAGCAACATATTAACCACAGACACACACAGGCTCTTCTACACAGCATTATTTTTACATCAGCCCACGAATGTGGTCTGTTCTAGTGTAAACAGCCTCTCTACAACCATGTTAATTTTACTGTGTGTTTCTTAGAGAAAGGAACTTCTTTCAAGTAGCTGCAATTTCCTCATAAATATTCCAGCCCACAGCATGCTGCTGACTCACTCCATTCTCACAGCAAGGCAGGAGATAATGGGATGAATGTCTGAGAGAAAAATATTGGCTATCCTTCCAGAAGTTCAAAGGACTAAACTTGATAAGTCACAGTCATCAGCTTATAAGTAACATTTGATTTTTGTTTTCTGCTTTCCCTAATTTAACATGATTAGTAACAGTGAATGCATTAACCTGTATATTATATATACACTATTCCATTAGCAGCTTAGGTAGACAGTGCATCCCTGAAGGATCACAACACACTCCAACTGGTGTGCTGAAAATATCGTGGCTTTTGATAGTGCAGAGATATGTCAGATGGGTGGTCTAAGCATTCTGGGTCCAATCTCTGCCTCCTACACCTATGATCACTGAGCAACAGAGCAAAACAGAGCAAAAGGTGCTGTGCAGGTGTGATTAAATATCCTCCAGTGCAATTCTGCCATCAGCAGGCTGCCTGTATTGCCAGTGCCCACACTGCCTGGCAAGAGCTCTGCTCAAGCAACAGCAGAGCTGCCCATGGCCTGGAACCAGTGCAGACTGACAGGTGACACACATAATTTGTGTTGGAAGCTGGTTGGTGGGAAGAGACAGGTGAATTCTGGAGAAGGGAGTTGCCTGTGCTGTAGGAAAAACAGTCCCAGATGGATTTACCCTGCAGAAAGTCATGGCTTGCCACAAGCTGAGGACAGCAAAACACAGCGCTGGTGTGCATGCCCTTAGCGGGAGCAGGATGGGTACAGGCAGAAAAAGAGTAAGAAAAGGCCATGTGGAGCAGCAGCATAGCAGGAAATGACCTCCCCCAGTCCTTGCTTCTCCAAACTTCTGAGTCTCTGACACAGCCCTAAACCTCCACACAGGGCCTCTCCTCTCCCAGCTTGCTAGGGGATTACTTGATTCCTGACAGCTGGCCCAGCCACAGTCATTCAGGCCCCCAGCCCCCATTTAGGGCAGGCAGCTGTGCTCCCTGCTCAGCTTAACCCACTCCTTGCCAGCCCTCCCCTCCTGAAGGATGGTGTCTGCTTTCCCAGGACTGGCATGAGTGTGCTGGAGCCTGCATCCCTTCAGCTGGCCCAGGGGACGAGCAGGATAGAGCAGTTTTATGGAGACATCAGCGTAACTGGAGCTCTTCCCCTCTCACTGTGCAGCTTTTTGTGTAATCATGAGAAAACACGTGAAAACCTGTGTAAAGCATCCTCCCGTGGAGCTGTGATCCCAGGAGCAGTATGCCACTTTGGAAGCCTCAGAAAAACTAGACAAACAGCAGGTGTGGTCAGTGACACATCCAAACTTAAGCACACCCACCTCAGAATGGAAATGTATTTATTAAAAAAAAAAATTAAAGTTAGAACTAAGGAAGACAAATCCAAAAGAGTCAGAATTGCTTGGCCAAGGGTGAAGTTTCATTCTGTGATTTCTGATACTCCTCTTAAATCACAGAATTGTGAAATGGTTTGGGTTGGAAGGGACCTTGAAGACCATCCAGTCCAAACCCCCATCCACTGTCCCAGGTTGCTCCAGGCCCCATCCAGCCTGGTCTTGAACACTTCCAGAGATGGGCCACAGCTTCTCCAGGCAGCCTATGCCAGGGCCTCACCACCCTCACAGGGAAGAATTACTTTCCAATATCCCATCTAACCCTGCCCTCTGTCAGTTTAAAGCCATATTAAAAATTAAATTAAATAAAAAAAAAACAAAACAAAACAAAAACGAAACCAAAAAAATCAAGCTTGTGTGACATCCGTATACCAGCAAAAGAGAAGAAAGAAATGACACTGAAATTGTGTATTTTTAGTATTAGTGTCTTATTATCTTGACAAGGTGTTTGTTTTCCCAGTCCATGGACTGGGAAACAAATAAGCACACTGAATAAAGTGAAGATCTCTCACTCCTGATTCCGGCCAGCAGAAACTTAATTTTTTCCAGTAGGCAGGAGGGGGTGTGGCCAGGGCCCCAGTGTTACTGGAAAACACCTCAGGTCATCGCCAGGCTGGAAGAGAGGATCTCACTTCAGAGGAGAAGGTTCCTTATGGTGGAGCAAGTGTGGCACACTGACTGGAGGGAGTGGTTTGGGTGACGTGGCTGCAGCTGGATTGAGCTCTGCACTCTCTCTTTAGTACACTTTTATTTTTATTATTAATATTATTGTTTTTACTGTTTGTTTTCTTATCTCATTGGTGTTTCCAGTAAACTGTTCTTACCTCAACCCACGATTTTTCCCTTTTGTGCCTCCAGCTCTCCTCTTCAGATGCTCCAGGGGAAGGGGCAGGGAAAAAGGGAAGAGAGGGGAAACAAAGGAGTGGCAGTGTGGTACTGGAGTCTCTAAACTGTGGAGTATCATTCCTAAACCATTACAATCTCAAGTCTTATTCGTACCAATTAACAACATACCTGTATATTCTGAACAACATCTTTGAAGGGAGAGGACCGCTGCATACATGTGTTCACTATGTCCATGGCCCTGTCAAAGTTCTTTACATATTCTCCATACATTTTCAGAAAAGGAGCAAGTTTCTGCAGGATATCTCCCAGCCGTGGGTTGACACTCCTATGGTAAAGAGACAGGTAAGTACTGAAATCTCTGGAAATCAATGGTATCTTCAGAGAGAAAACACAGCTGTGAGATTTCCACAGCTGTCTCCCACATCCCAAGCACTTACACATATGTGCAATCAAAACAGGCTAAGTTTAGTTTAAGGTAATCTATACAATATCCTAGATGAAACTTCCAACCTGAATCCTGATGTAAAAGGGATGACATTTCTGCCCTCACTGTCTTAAGTGAAGAGCAGACTGACTACGTGTACATATCTCTTCTGCCCAGCACAAAATCTCGTGGGAAACTTGTACTTATCAAAAATAACCTTTTCCACCATACTCAAACATCTGAATTGGTTTTAATGCAAGGAGATGGTTCAGTTCAGATCCCCAGGGGCCAGTAAGACCAGGCTGTGCAGCATTAGGCACAAATCTCTCTCCTGCAGAGTCACTGCCAGGCAGAGAGCCAGCCATTCTCCCCCAGTCTGCCTGTGCAAGACTGTCTTTAGCCAGCCGCCAAGCTTCTGTCCTCTTCTGACTCCCAGACTCTGCACTTCTCCTCCCCTTTGTTACAGTTATCCCTGCAAGTGCAAGTCAGGCACACATTTATTCCTTCTGTTCACTGATGAGCATGTGAAGACTGGACTCAGCCAAGAGAGAGGCATGCTCTGGTGCTGTCTTGGTCAGCCAGGGTACCTGGGACTGCAGGACACCATGCAGCCCATTTGTCACCTCAAATTTGGTTTCCTACATCTGACTTACAATTAACCTTTCTACCTATCACTGCATTTCTGCCTTATCTACAACTTACAGAATCACAGAATCATTAGGGTTGGAAAAGACCTCAAAAATCAACAAGTCCCACCTGCAACTTGTTATAGTAGCCAAATTTTAATTGGTATTTGAAAATATTTCTTTCAGCTTTGGAGCCAAGACAAGCAATTTCATTCCTTCCTAGTACTGTAATTTCATAGTACTGCAATAATAGGAGAGTGAGAATGCAGTAAGGAAAACAGCTCTGGCAATAACTTTGAACTGAAAAAGTGCTCACAATGTATTCTGGAAATTTTGAGTGCTCAGGCCTACTCCTTAAGTCAGAAATGTTTGAGAGACTTCACATTAACATATTATATAACTAATGTAACTACTGCATTAAACAATAAAAAATTTGGAATTAGACTAGCCCTTATGGTTGCTACAGTTTCTCGAAAATGTATTTTGAAAATAATTGTAATGACAGCTACCTACCATTCTTGTGTAATTCTTGTTTTGAGCTCAGGAAGAAGAAATTGTCCATGGAAACAGTAGATGGAAGAAATATTTGAGAAGATGCCTGTTATCACATCAGATGAAATCCCTGCTTCAGACAATTTAGTGCAAAAAACCTGCAGAAGGCAACAAGACAGTACCAACATTTTTTAGCAAAAAACAGTCCTAGACATGCTGATTTTAGATTGCAATTTTTCAAAGCTGACTGCTTAGAACAGAGCTGCAGATTTTGACCCCTGGCAGCCTTGGAGTCTTCAGGAGGTTCACAAAACTTAAGCCCACTGTCAACCAGGGTTAGATATATCACTACAGGCTATAGAAAAAACTAGGAAAATCTGAGCTGCAATTCAAAAAAGATTGAAATAACTGAGAAGATCAGACATCTCATATTTGGGAGTGCAAGCTGCAAAGAACATCCAGTCCCTGAAAAGCATTTACTGATGTTTACACAAAGCAAAATTAACCATGTGATTGGGTTTTTCTCAATAGGAAAAATTACACTGAAAAAAAGGGAAAAAGACATTCCCTAGATTTCTGTGGTCTAGAAACAGTCTCTGTTCATCTCTTACAAACACTCTAAGTCTTCCATAGAGCTCCAAGAGTTGTAGGGTGAAGGGTTCTCCAAGTTAGAGCTTCTAACATTTCTAGCCAGGTGACAATTTTCTCTCTTTTTTTTCCTTCTACTCATTTTTAAAAAGCACTTGGCTAGCAATGTGTCTCATCCCCATTTTTATTTCTGTCTTGCACATTCATGGGTTTTTTCTTTGAGATAATTATAGAAATGCCTGAATTGTGTAGCATCAACTCAAAGTCTATGGGAAAGAAAGTTCAGACTCATCACACCAGTTTCACATCATCCCCACGTGTAAACGTGATGGACAACAATTACAAAACACAGCAGTAAAGAAATAGTTTGCTGGAGGCATGGGGCTGACACACGTGGCCTGATTTTAGTAAAACTTCAACTTCTTGCCCATCAAAGAGCAATCACAGATTTCATCATTTCTCAGTGCCTTCAATGTCCCTGTGATTTCCTCTCCCCATACACCCAGGGAGGAACCAAATGCTGGCAGTGTCTGTGTCTTGGGCTTTCCCATCTCCCTTCCTGCCATCCCAAACCTCTGGCTCCTTCTCAGAGAACCCTCTTGCCCAAAGCTCGCCTCTGGGACCCTCAGCACACAGCCTGGCAAACAAACTCCATCTTCCACCCACACACAGCATTTCTATTGAGCTACAGCTTAGGCAATGGACAGGAGATGTCATTACTGCCCACTGAAAAGAAATGAAAGTTAATTCAAAATGGAATTACCTGGTCCAAGAGATGGAGTCTTTTAACATACGCTTCCTCCGTGTGGAGCAGCTCATTGGCGATGTTGAAAAGCTTTTGGGGCTCTGTACACTGAAAAAAAAGTTACAAATGACATAATCCATCTGCATCTCCATGCCTAAATTCCACTAACTGTGCTGGTTTTCATTTTGTCAGTGTCCAAAATCCCTACCAGCAGAGTGAAAGAGGTTAACACATTTCAGAATCCGCTCCACATCTCTCAAAAGATCACTCTGCTCCAGAGACATTTTTAATGTTTTTTTCTGAAAGAGCAATTAGTAATGCAATCAGTGGCTGGTCAGGACATCACTTGAATTTATTATGGCTTTATAAAAAGAACCAGAAACATCCTCTAAACCTGTAAATAAGTCTAGTCTATTTGAAAAACAAGGCAATAGATTGTAAATCAACTGTTCTCCTTTTTGGAGTCAGGTCCTGTAACTAAAATCAAAACCAGGCTATTTGACCAGATTTCTATCTTTGCCAGCACAGCATTACTCTCTATGGCATATTTCTAAGATTTTTGTGCAGCTTTAAACACAGGCCAATTCCCTGGGAAGAATTTTCAGCAAGGTAACCCAAATCACTCAGTGAAGCCTTTCATTAAGCTCATTTTAAAAAAATAAAATGAGAAAAGACTACTTTAAAACTCTAAATACAGTTATAAAACACTGACTTTAGGCACAGTTCAGCCAAAAGAGACCCTTCACTCACTAAGTGCTTCAAAATACCTGAATTACCAGAATACAGGCTTGAGCTTTCCAACAACCTTTTTAAGTGTTAGACTTTAAACACCATGCCTAAATAAAATGAAAGCAGTCCAGAACAGAGCATTGGCTGGCTTGTATTCAGGAATACAAGCATGGAAAATGGGCAGCAAGGATGATCAAATGTAAGGAAACTACACTGGGCTGGATCCAGAAAAAAAGACATGCAATGAAGAGGTGCATTAATGATTCCTGAACTGGAGAACATTGACTGGGTGCAATTAATCACTATTTCTATGGGAAAACTGAAGGGCATCAAATAAAATCACCAAGGTGCTGCTTCAGGGGCTGCTTCCTCAAGCAACACTGCACTGCCAGCAGTAACCTTCATAGAGATTCACAAAAGAACCAGAAATATCCACAGAGGAAAAATTCAGCTGAAGTCTATTAAACACATGGGGCAATTTCCAGTTCAGGAAGCATCTGGGCCTGACACCAGTAACTCCAGCCCAAATGCCTGTCTCTGGTGCTCACATTTGGGGCAAGGACTTCCAGATATAACCCTGTGGGTCACCATCAGATTGCTGGAAAACACCAAATAAAGGCTCTCTTTAAGCTTCTTCAACATCACTCTATTTTGTTTCCAAATAAAGTTTATGAGAAACATTTAAACACCTGCCCTCCACACACACTCAGACAAACTGCAGTACAACTGAAATCCTCAAAGGCTTTTCAAAGCAAGCCATGAACTCCAACAAATCAGACCCACAGTTATCCTACATGGAATGAGATGTCACTTGGTATGATGCACCCACAGCTCCATGATGTATTATTGAAGGAAAGTGAATAGCTTTCCTTTATTTGAAGCAACATCAGATCTCCTTTGAAACAAGCCATCTTTTTCCAGGCACAAATCTGAAGGTAGGCAAACCTGAAGATGCCATGAGCGAAGTTTTGACATGGAGACTCTCTGCCCTGCCTCTCCAATTATTCCAAGTCAATTCAAATATTCTTTCAAGCTCTTTCAACATGCTACACAATATCCTCCTCTGTTCAATGTGCATTAATATTTAGGGGAGGAGAAAAAAAATCACAGCACAATAAGTTTTGGAATTGTTCCAAGCAAAGACATCTTATTAAAGTTTACACTGAAGTGCACTGCTGGCCAGTCAAATCCAGTAACTACAAGGATTTCTCACTGAGAAAAGAATTCATCTGCTGGTTTTGCTGGGCACAAAGGAACGCTCAAATGAAAGGTACTGATGTCACCAGCTGGCATGCCAGCCACCAACAGCACACTTTGAGTTGTTTGAATTCAGAATTGGAAAAATACTTATTTCCAACCAAATGCATTTGTACTCAGAAGTAAATCTTTACATAACACAGGCGCTTTTTGACCTCCTGACCTTCACCATCTGCAATTCAGTTTATATTTCAAGAAAACTTGCTGACATTAGCTTAAATACCAAACAAGGGCTGAATAGACTCAGCTTGAGCTCAGTTTTACAGAGTGACTCTATCTTCAGTTGCTCTCTCTGCTAGGCAGGGAGACAGGAACACTTTTCAGACAAATTTGCAACATATTTGCCTTTCAATGGGCATAACATTTTAAATGAAATTGTAGATTAATTAAATGTGAGGCAGTCCCATTCTTCTAACTCCATTTTGTGCCATGGCAGGATAGCTTTAACAAAGCCTGAGCCATCATCCAGTTCACTAGGAATGAGATATTTCATGGTCCATGTTTCTAAAGAGAAAGATAAATCTGCAAACTGAGATTATGCTCTGCTTTGTGCAGTGCTCCTGGCACAGCCACAGCATCTCCTGTGCAGCCATCACTAGAACCTCACAGAGGCTGGGTGGAACAGTGTGGCTGGTGGGGTGACAAGAAGGATGAGAAAACTGAAGTGTTGACTTCATAACACAGAAAGTTCACTCCAGTGCTTGAAGCAGCCTGATGCACTTCCACTTCTTTGTGGAAGATTCAAAAATTCATTTTCAGCTGCAACTGTCCATAAAGCTTTTTAAATAAAAGGAAACAACAGCCTGAAATCAAACAAAACCAGTTTCTCATGAAGGTCAGATTCATACTTGGAATGCATTTGCACCTCAAATCTTGCAACCATTTTTCATACAATGGGTGTGCACAACTACATTCAGTCAGCATCTGTCTCACACAGGGCTTTCAGCAAATCTTGCAAGAGAGCTGCTGGGGTAGAGCTTAGGTTAAAATCATACATGATTATACTTCAAAATCCCACCAGTCAGCTCTGCACAGAACACAAAAAGTCTCAGAAACATTATGGATCACTTCCTACTCAACAATTCCGAAAACAATATGGAGAAGTTATCCTGTGCTTGGCTGTCTTTGTTGCACTGAAATCACATTTTCATTAAGATATTTAAACCAAATATGATGATGATGATGATGATGATGGCATATCTGAATTTTCTCAACCAACATTATGACTAAAACATTGACATATGGACTTTTTTTTCAGAATATACATGGAGCTAATCTCACCCAAAGGTCTGAGTAGCAGGACTGCAAGCCAAATTTTACAACACACACTGCACTATGAAATCAGATGTGAAACTCCAGCCATGTACAGGCAGAATGGAAGCATGTGTCCATGAATGCATGGGACCCATGTGGGAGTCAATTGTTACTATTTACACAGTAAGAAGCAGGACAGAGGGAGAAAAGCATTTTTTGGTGATGACAAATGAACATATATTACTCTTAGTGAAAAAATACCTAAATAAAAAGCTATGAAGCACTGATACCCCTCCCAGAAGCATTACTCAGGCTCTCCAGGCAGTCAGCAGAAGTCTTGGGACATTGGAGTGTGACAGTCCTTCAGTCTCACTTTCATGTCACTTCTTTTCTTTGTAACCATCCAGGTTACTCCAGCATCACTTCCTGGCGCTCCTGACATTTTCTGAGACATTATCAAAACTAATAAGCTCCCCTTGGCTCATTTTTATTTTGATAAAATAACTGGAAATCTCAGTAAGTAAGTCACTCCTGAGATTTTAAAACATGGTTTGTGCTCATAATGAGCCCTGTTAGACTTCTACAGACTCCTAAAGAAAGCCATGTCACTGCATAGCTAACCTAGACTAAATGAAACAACACCAGTCACACATCAGGCAAGGTTACCTTCCCCAGCCATGGGCTGTGTGCAAGCTTGGGTGGAAGATGGAGAGATAACTGAAGTAGAAAAGAATGGTTATTCATGAGCTTCACTTACCCTGATATCCTAGGAGCTACTGAGCCATCATTAAATCACTCTGCAGCTGTACTTATGCATTCTCCTCCAATTATAACAGGTTTCATATTTAATGAGACTACTGGTTACCTTCATGGTGCATCTGCAAAGCCTGGTACTAGGGGTAGGAGGGGGAATGCAGGAAAAACACACTCTCTCCCAGCTTAAGGCTTTCTGAAGGAGATGAGCTCTCCCCAGCTCCCAAGCCAGCAGCTGATGCCAAATGAATTCTCCTCTCTTCCTTCAAGCAAGAAAATGATCAGTTTTGTCAAGAGTGATGTGAAATTCCAGCCTAAGAATAACTGTGGAACAAGTCAACTTTGAATCACATTAGTTGTCCTTGCTGGAAGCTATAGCCCTTCACTCCAACCCTGAGTCCATAGTGCCCCAAATCTGCAGCAGGGAAAGACCTCAAGTTGTGCCAGGGGAGGTTTAGATTGAGTATCTGGAAAAAGTTTCTTCACTGAAGGGTCTGGCACTGGAAGAGGCTGGCCAGGGAAGTGGTGGAGGCACCACCCCATAAGTGCTCAAAAACCAGGTAAATGTGGTGTTTAGGGACACAGTGTAGTAGTGGACCTGTGAGTGTTAGATCAGTGTTAGACTCAATGATCTTGGAGGCCTTTTCCAACCATAATGATTCTGTGGTTTTATGTGGACACTTGACACAGAAATTGGTTTCCCCCAATGTGCTCCCAGAAGAGGGCACAATCTTTACACTGAAGAAGAGGCAGCTGCTCTCTCAGCCTTCCTCCTCTATGCGACTGCAAAAACAAGGTGACTTAGTGTAGCTTGGTAAACTCCAAACTGCCTTTCAGATGGAGAAATCAACTCAAACTGCCAGGGAAAACCTGCACTGCATCACATAAATGCACCTCAGGAAGAAGGGTAATATAAAAAAACCAAAACAGATGTGTTTTCTTCTGGAGATACCTCTCTCATAAATTCACCAGGTGAGCTCCAGAGAATTACAACCTCATAATTCTGTGTTTTGTCATCTTTATTTCCTACTATATGGACACTTAACCTAACAAGACTTAAAAACAGCCATCAAATCATCGATGTCTTACAGAACATTGGCATTTGTCAACAAAGAACTTCTTAATCATATGGTAAAGTGTTTAGCTTGGGGTTGTCACAGTTGGTTTGATACAGCATTCCTAGTCCAAACTGTAAATTTAATTACCAGATTAAATATTTTTTTCAATGTAATGTATTATTTTCCAGAAGTTGGACTTTGATGATTGTTATGGGTTCTTTCCAACTCAGGAAATTCTACAATTCTTTGGTTTCTTCCTGGCCTGTTGCAACTAATAACATATCTTTTAAATAATATTTCAGTGGCACACATGCACATACATACCCATTATGAATATAAAATAATTAAAGTATGTCACAGCATGTCTATGTATGTATAAACACACTTGTCAAGCTCTGAGAACTTGTTTGCCATTTTCATCTCTCTTTTATAGTCACCAGATGATTGACCTAAATCTAAGAAATGCATTCTAATGTTCACATTTCCCAAGGGACAAGTGCTTGACAGACACAAATCATGATCTGCTTGGTGATTTCAACAGAACCACTCAAATTTGTACAAACTGAGGTGTGGATGCTGCACTTCACTAGCTACAGATCATTAGCTGCAGCTGCTTATCATATCCTTCAAAACACAAAAATCCCAAATATTAACTTTACTGTCATGATGGCTTGGTGGGGGGGGAAAAACTAACAAAACCAAACACCCCCAAATACAAATAAAAAGTGCAAAAAGTGGAACATTTTGCAGATATTTTGCAATATTCTTGGGGTTTTTTTCTGGAAAAGTCAAATCCCTTTTAACAGCGCTTTTTCTAAAAATAACTGTCCTGATAAGCTGATAATCAAAGGAATCTGTCATTAATCTTACATAGCTGCTGCAAATACACAACAGCCTGGACTACATTAGTTTGGAATCAAAGAAAAATCTCTTTTCCCACTTCAGTTTCCTGAAGAATAATTTGACATAAAACAACTTTAAACAACATAAAACAACATTAAAACAACTTCTTTGCACTCCAGAAGTGGTCACACCAACAAAAGCACAGATTTCTATAAAAAAAAACCAGTCTAAATTCTGTGTGAGACAAGATTCTGATCCTGCCTGTTTGCAAGGTCCTGACCCTGCAAGATGCACTTTACAATTAACTCTCTGAATAACATGAAGATCCACGGAATACAACATGCTCTAGCAAGCTGAACCTAGACAAACCCAAACAACAAACACAACTTGGGAGTCTCAATCTACAAAAGTATTTGAATTTCAACAGCTTACCTCTGGCTGTGATGGATTCTCTGACATGAAACCTTTAAAAGCAAGCTGGGAACCTTTCTAAAAGACTGTCTAGGTCAGGAATAAGTTAGGACCTGCATAAAGCAGGAAATAATACTGACCTATCATGATCCTTTGAGGAAAAACCAGCCAAGCAAATAATCCAAACAATGTGTGATGTCAAGAACTGGTTTCTGAATGCTCAATAGTAAGGAACAAGCTGTCTTACCTTGTTTACATCCAAATACTCTAACTTTGGCACTTCTGCTATCTCTTGCTCCTCACTGCTTCCTTCATCAATGTCACTGTCCTCATCCTGCATGGAGTCTCTCTTCTGCTCTACAGAGGAAGGTTTGGTGCCCTTTCTGTCAGGTTCCACCTCTCCTGGGTTCCCAGCCATGCTGGGCTTCCTCTGCTCTGCCCCTTCTTCACTGGGGAACGTTTCCCCAGCCACACTACAAGAAGGACTGTCAATGCCGCTGTCTCTGTTGGGAATTTTACCACTCCCATTCAGTTCTGCACTTGAGTCTTTATTGCCAAGCTCTTCTTGGGGCTCTTTGCTCACAGTCACAGCAGTACAGTCTTCATGGCTTTTGTTGTCACCTATGCTCAGCTCTTTAATTTTCATGATGTCTGTGTTAGTCAGATCCGTGCTGCACGGTACATTGGGCTCGGCCTCATCCAATTCAGTTTTGTCACTTGTGGAAGAGCCACCAGAAGCTGCTGTGTCACAGTCACACAAGCTCGTCTGCTTGGATGAGTCCAGGCCAGGTTCCATCTTAAGAGCCAAATTTAGCTGGTTTCTTTGAAGAATATGTACAGGTTGCCTGTGGGTGGAGAGAATGCACCACAGTCATATTAACACTCGGGTTTCACAAGTGCCCTGCAAGGGAGGGTCTGACTGTCCTTGATTCAAGTTGTATTTCTTGCACCCCACTGACAATCCCAGAAGGTAAAAGTGTGCACATTGCAATAATAATGATCACCCAACAACATCCAATGAAAAAACAACACCCCTGCACTCGACTGAAATGGCAGCACCAGAATCCTGGGCCTTTAGTGCTTTCCATGCCACCTTGAAGAACAGTCTGGTTTGAGGGCTCAGAGAAGAAGGAATCGCCTCTAAAAAGAAGCAATTGGTTCTGGGCTCATTTAAACAGGAACTCTCATTCTTCAACAGAGCAAAGTCTTTGTGGCAAGGCATTTTCTGCCAGAGAGGGTGCACTGCAGCATGAGAAGGCACTGCTTTTCCTTTTTGAAACACAACAGATTCACCTGGGTGATAAAACTACAAGGCACAGTACGGTGCCTCTCTCCATCGCCCTCTTTGTGAAAAAAACCCCATCACTTAGCTCCATCAGGCAGATTTGTTTTTCAGGGAAATATTTCATGTGTTTGTAAAATGAGCTGGTTTTACAGCAAAATACATGTATTTTATCCAATTTAGAGTCTTTCATATGCAAAGTTTCAGAACAGCTGCTGTTGCACATGGCATTGTTTCACAGTACTCTATACCCTTCCCTGCCTCCAAGAAGCAAGAGCTGATGTTTATTGTATCTCAGACAGAAAACTCAATTATTTCATATCATAACAATCAAGTTCCTATGCTGCAATTCCCATATTGAACCAACTTACTGAAAGCAGATTGTGGGCTACTTGCCTCTGTTAGAATCTTACCAAATTCTGTAGGTCTTAAGCTCCTTAAGCATAACTGTATGTTACAAATTAAAATTTGCAGCTTATTAAAATATTTATTAAAATTTAAATATTTATTAAAAAGATACTTTGACTTCAGTGAAGCTTTGCACTTGCAGTAGAAAACATCCCAAGAGGACTTTCCATGTGATCATCACAGTTAATGTTTTCTACTGTTATATTCTAAGTTAAAAATGCAGAAAAGGGAGAGTAGATCTCTCAAAGCCATATTTACCTAATACTTTCAAATTTCTCAATGAGCGTGTTGACTCCTGCTGATATTGGTATTTCTTCCTCTCCAGGTGCTAAGCTCCTTGATGACTTGGGATCAGCTGGCAAAGGCCGAGATGGTGCAGGAGGAATTCTTTCCTGCCCAGGTTTGAGATGGACAGGTTTAGGAGGTACTAATGAAAGAGAAGGGAAAAAACAGGATAAATCTCCATTTTCTTTATCCTAAACTGGAAACAAAATCCAGACCGAGAGGTATGCATTCTTTCCTCCTTCGTTGTAAGTGGCACAGGTGCAGTCCTGAGGTATTGCTTACACCAAAGCAAGCTGCTAAAGAAAAATGTCAGGCTTCTATTTTGTGTTTCTACAGCTGGCTTAGCCGTGCTAACAAACTGAGTGGCTTGCAGCACTGCACTGCTTCCTCATTACCAAACAGGATGCACAGCTTACACTTCAGTTTGCAAGTTTGCTTGCCATCTCAATCACACTAATGAGCTTCCCCTTCCATGACTTCTCAAAATTCTGGCACCCCATTGAATCTCATATTGGGGGGAAAAAAAAGGCAGAGGGATGAACCACATCCCAAAATAAACCATCAAAACCCAGCCCCAGCATGGATTTCAGTGCCTTGTGTTTGCTTGGTCCAAAATGCCACAGGCTGAACATAATGGCTTTTCTTCCTCTCATTCTCCCTCCCCCCTTCTTGTCTGTGGTATAGTAGTCTTCACAAATTTCCTTCCTCTTTTGGTTCTATGTTGAGTTGTGTACGGTATAAATAAAACAAGTACTGTAAGAACACTCACATTCCGCTTCAGGACTCAAAAGGAGGCCAAGGTACAAAGTTTAATACAGTATTTAAAAAAAGGGCATTAAAATGTAATGTCATTTTAAACAATTTGTTCAGATCTTCCATTGATTGCAGAGTAAAGGATTTATCACACACAGGCAGTAACTCATGGCAACAGGTTCCCATGCTGTCGTGGTTTCATACAGGGAAAGCAACTCCCATAGCTGCTGGGACTGACACTGGAAGGCAGGAAAACTGGCTGTGGGATTGTTCCCAAAGCACACACTGCATGGAGTAGCACTGCCAAGTGTGCTCCCTAGACTATCCAAGCAGTTGACAGGTTACATGAGGAAATTCTAACTACATGTTGTATTAAAAAACATTTTCTAGAACAGTTTCTTTCAACCATTTCTGACTCTGATCATCCATTTGGCACACATGACCAGCACTATAACGGGGCTTGAGTTAACAACTATTCTGAATATTACTTGCTTTAGGAGCACAAACAGAAGCATATGCACCCAGAAAGTCAATTCCAATTGTCCCTTTCTTACAGAAGGCTTTGCATCTGTTTTAAGATCCACATCAGCCCAGATGTCTGCCCTGCTCTAGCAGATGGGCAGCTGCCATAGCAGTCACAGCCAGGCAGTGGCCAAGGTCAGTGATGAAGAGCTGTTAAAGCATTTTGGAGTTCTCGGTACAGGGCAGATTTTAAACTTCTTACATTACTGAGTTTACTTCAGCATGAAAGAATAAAATCAAATTTTCTAAGGATTTGACAGGTCCTCTTCCTATAAGAGGACTGATTTGCCCAATCTCCAAAACCATCTGAAATTCCTATCCTAAAATAAAGTTGTTAAAGTCCAATTTTGAAAAGACCTCTACAAGCCCTATCTTATGCAGGCATAACAGGGAAACAGGAAAAGAAAATCTTCTTGCATATAAATGGTATGGTGCAGATCTGTGTTATGTTCACCAGGTTTTCAAGTGCACACCATGTGACCAGTGAGTGTCTGGCTATATTTTTCCTTGTAAAAATATTTTAAAAAATATAAAATATAAAAACAAGTATCCACACAGCCATCTGGTGCATCTAGCCAAAGACAAGTTCTGTGCTCCTTACAGAGGGTGCAGAGTGCAGCAGCCAGACATGTCAGAACCTACCCCACATATCCCATCAAGCCTTCAAAGCTGGCCCTGATCCGTAACACCCAAAGGTTTTACAATAATATCAAAGCATTTACACTGCTGTCCATGCAAACATTTGATGTCTTTCCTGTTAGTGGAATCATCTAAATCACCTCAGACAACACACTCTGCACTGGACCAAAAGGAAGCAGGAAAACACTTTTGTTAATTCTGAATTTTTACCTACTGAAGTAATGTTGAGAAATGGAGATGTCAGCATGGAGGCAAAGCCACTAACCCTACCAAGAACTACTTAGCAAGCGAAATTTCAGCCCCACCAGATGTGGTTCAAGGCCAAGTCACCTGGGTCAAGGCAATCCCAGATGCAGACTGGGTGGAGAATGGAACAAGATTAGCTCTGGGGAGAAGCATTTTGGAGTGTAGTTGTCAAGATGTTTGACATGACCAGACCACATGCACTGACAGCTCAGAACCTCATCCCCACCTGCAGCACGAGCAGCAGGTAAGGCAGATTCTCCCCCTCTCTCCATTCTGATGAGACCCCACCTACAGCTCTGGGCACCCCAACACAAGAACAACGTTGATCTGTTACAACAAATCCAGAGGGGGCCACTGCAAGGGCTGGAGCCTCTCTGCTCTGGAGTGGGCTGAAAGAGCTGGCAGGGCGTTCAGCCTGGGGAAGAGAAGGCTCCAGGAAAGGCTTACAGCCCCTTCTGGTGCCTAAAATGCTCTCTTTCCAAGAGAGCCAGAGAGGGACTTTGGACAAGGGCCTGGGACACCAGGACAAGATGGAATGGCTTCCTAACTGAGGGCAGGGTTAGATGGGAATGAATTCTTCCCCGTGAGGGTGGTGAAGCCCTCGCAGAGGTTGCCCAGAGAAGCTGTGACTTCTCTATTCCTGGAAGTGTCCAAGCCAGGTTGGACAGGGCTTGAAGCAACCTGGTCCAGTGGAAGGGGTCCCTGCCCATGGCAGGGGATGGAACATGATAAACTCTAAGGTTCCTTTCCACCCAAACTCTGATTTTTCAGCTAGAAGTTTGCTACATGGAAGATACTAGTGTTTCAAAGCATTTTCAGGTGCTGCCTGAAGGCTGAAGCCACATGCTGGAAAGGTCTCTCCTCATTCCTCCTCCTGCTGAAGGTTTTACGCAGCAGCTCATGGTTTCAAATCAACCTAACTAGGATCCCTCCAACCTTCTGAAATACACACATAGGAAAAACAGTTTACATCCTCAGTGATTGGAAATCAGTGCCATGAATACAACAGCAAAGTATTTGCACCAGGTGAATTCATTCCAGATCTCACTGAATAGACACTTCTGCTGTTCCTTTTTGTTGTTATTACTGACAATGGAACAACCACTAATGAAACTTGGAGTTTTCACCTAGAGGTCTTGGTGTAGCCTATAAAGACACAGACCATGTGAGATGTTTCAAGCATGGAGTAGTATATTAACTTAATGTTTAAGGTTTACTTCCAGAATCAGAAAATGCAATGCTTTCTTTGTTGTTGTTTAAGGCTGAATTGCTTTTGTATAGATATTTTAATTGGGAGCGGGTGGTGGGGCAATGGCTCAATGTGTACAACACCAAAATATCTTCTTTTTCAGAAGAAAATGACCATCTTTCACATGGACCCATATCTGCTAAACATTTTGGTTTGTGAACCTAGTGCCTTCTTGAGGCTTAGCTTCCTTTGTTCCAAACACCTCTCAAGCTCCATGTTTTTGCATTCCCTTGAGGCAAGCACCCAGTACATACACCAGGGTAATCAATTGTATAAAGCATGGGGTGTTGAGAGTGGGGCTCTTGGAAAACTGGTATTACAGAGATCACATGTCATTTTGCTGATAAAGAAACATGAAAATAATTTATACTCTTTCAAGAAATTTCCTGCAGTCTTTTTTGCAGACTTCAGAAGCCTGGGGAGACCAGAAGAACAGCTGGAGACCAGCTGGAGCACGTTTCTTCATGGCGCCTCTTCCATCATACTTTGGGATTGCCACCTATTTGACTATTAGGTGGCAGTTCTCTGGAAGTACCACAGCCCACAGGTGATTGATTTAGCTTCTACTTCATATTTTCAAAATACACTTGTTCTATTTAGGCATTTCCTGTTGCCATGCATAGTTCTTACAATAAATGGAAAACAGACCAGGTTTTAAAAATAAGATATTATTACCTAATTTATATAAACCTAATTTTTATAAACCTATTACTACTTCTAAAAAGATTTATCAAAAATATAAACAATACTGTTAAATTCAACTTACACTTCATAGCTACAGGAGGTATAACAACAGGACAAGAAATATAAAATGACAAGCTAAGTAATTGGTTATTGCTGAATCAATTTCTTCTTGAAGGCTTCTCTAAGTGGTTATCTAACAGTGGAAAATGAAGATAATAAAACCTTACCAGCCATACATTACAACGTAAAAGTAACTGTTTTGCTGTGACTCAAATCGAAACAATAATTTTAAAATATTATACTTCCTGTGCAATAGGAGCTTATACAATTTCTAGAAGGACAAAGCTACTTGCCTTGGGGTTTCTGTAGAGGATGCATTTTGGCCAGTGCAGTTTTGGTTTTGGGCTTCCTTCCAGCCTGATGGAGACATTGTGCTGAGCTGAGGTGCTGCAGTTCCCCACATGCTTCCAACACAGGATTGGAGTCAATGTGACACTTGATTCGAAAAGGAGAACAAGGGCAACCTGAGGGAAGGAAAGAAGCCAGTATTTATTTTGTTCTATTGATCCTGAAGAAAATTTGTGCTACTTCTGGAAGTATGTCACTCATCCAAGCTCCTGAGGAAGGGAAGGGGAGAAGGAGAGGGGTGAGCCCTTCGCTCACAAATTATTACAACCAATACACCCAGCCTTTACAGCCCTGTTAAACTGCCTGACTGATAAGACAGGCAGAATTTCAGCAATCCTTTCTTTAATTAATTATTTACTTCTTTACCACAGACACACAAAATCAAAGAGCAAATATAAAAGCTAAAAACCATTTCAAAAGGATTTCTCCAAACAGAAATACAAGTGCTGCAGCATATAAAGTTATGTTACTTGATAAAAAATACAACTGTAATAGGATGATTCAGAAATACATTCCACGTGGTGGGAATGGTACAAATGCCATTTCTTGAGATTTAATCAGTCATTTAATCACTAATTGCATTTTATGCCTATTTATTACCCCTCTTTACATAAAATATTAACATGCCTGCAAAAGGCACCAGTGTAGAAGATGCCATTAAGATACAATCCAGTGGCAACACAGAGGAAGATGTGATTAATACAACTGCTGGTCTTCAGTTTTACATTCTTGATTCACTTCTGTGAAAACTCGGAAAACAAACCATCATGGACCCTGCAGTATTTGATTTGGAGTTTTTTCTGGACTTGTGGCAAGCCTACACAAAACCCTTATGTCAGCTTTTCTAGTGTGTCATGAGAAGGTTAAAAAAAAGAGTTTAAAAAGGAATGTGGTTTAAAGTTCCTGTATATGAACATATAAATATATAGGGTTCTGGCACTTCTCAGAAATGAAAAAACACATCAAATTCAGAAATTTGAACATAAATGCACTAAAAAAGGGCAAAGAAAACATGACAAACATTCTTTTCCTATTATTGTTTTGAAATGGACTAGCTGAATTTACCAGAATCTCGCCGGAGTGGAGTGTAGCTTATATCACATAGAAAGGATTCATCTAAAGGTGAAAAACCAGTCTTTGCCTTTCTGTGATGTCTTCAACAACATGGCTTTAGCTTCAAAAATGCAATCTACTTTCAGCCAGATTCCTATTAAGATCAACAACCTGAAATGAAAAGCACTCCCATTCACATCAACTAAATTATCCTGTATTTATATTAATGGTATTAAATCAGGATGTGACCTTTTGAATAAAGCCCCTGGATCTGAGCTATACAGACTGAAGATTTTGTTGTCAAAAATAGATTCAGATGGCACAAATCTACTTACTGATCTCTGCCACCCAAATATTCAGTCCCTAAATTCCCCATGTATGGCTGCCAGTTGTTGCTGGTTGAAGCTTCATTAGCATTTCTACCACAAAAATCTTCTTTTCAGCAGATTTGAGACCAGCTATTAAAACATCCTTCCAGCTAAAACCAGGAAATTAAAAGTACTAGGTTCTATTCAAATATAATTTCATTTAACAGAAAAGTGCAGTGAAAACAGACAAGATTATTAAAGAAGATTAATAGATTACTGCAAACACATCATCACTGACAGAATTTACACTGATGGCTCAGTTCTGGGTACCAAAAGCTCCCTGTGACAGCAGCAGTGCTGCCACAGGCCAGCTTCTAAGGGGAAGGGCTAGGACTTCTTCCTTGTGAACAGTAGCTCAACACAGCCAGAAATTAAAACAATGCACTAGGGAAAAGCCTGAATTTGAGAAAATTAGAAGGGCAGCATGCAGAAAACAGAGCCCAGTGTTTCAGCAGGTATTCACCAGCGTGACAGGAATGCAATCTAGCAATGTTGTATTTTCTTAAAAATTGCTTCAGTGATCCAGTTCCTCAGTGGACAAATCTCTGCACCTACCACAGCTCTAGAAAACTGGAGAAGACCCCTCTAACGTGTGCTGTGCTGTCTGATGACACAAGCACGGCACCGGTTTCAGCTCTGGCAAAGCACTGAAGTTCTGGTAGATGCCAGACACATCCACAGTCCCCCACAGCAGCTGGAGGAGAGCCACAGCTTCTCCTGCCCCCAGGCACCACATCTCTAGGGGATGCCCAGCTGGACATCCTAAGCTGAGCCCAGCTACCCCACGCTGACTTGGGATAAAGTACAAGGTACCCTAAGCATCTGCCATTCTTCAACCACTGCCACAAAAAAAGGACTATACTGTATCACTTTGTGAAGTTTCAGAAGGAATTAAAACCCAATTCCTGTTTTTTTCCTCCTGGGATTCATTGCTGTAAGCCACTTTACTTTTTTATACTGAAAACAAAACCTAGTGTTTCCTTCATTGGTGTCAAATGTGTGGCACCACCAGACACCCCTTTTGTCTGGGCTTAAACCTCTAATCACTATTTACAGTACTGCAAAGCAGGGTGTTTTGACCCTTATTTTATAAATTCACACATAAATTCTTCCTCTTACGCTGTTTTATTAACTCCAGCATTTTCCTCAGAACCAGTTAAAGCTCACTTCTTCCTCCTGTCCACAGCCCAGCTGGGACCTCAGCAGGGGTGTGGGCAGTGTGTGCTGGGGCTCTACAGCCCTGCTACAGAACCCAGCTCAGTGACACTGACAACAATTAGCTGACATTTTTCTGGCATTCCAAAACATCAAATTCAGCAAAAAGAGTGACAGAAAAGTTACCACCATAAGCTTTCAGAAACAGATGCAATCAAGCAAACATTTATGTTCCAAAGCAAGCAAGAATCTGGCATGGACTGCAATTCCCCACCAAAAGAGAGGTGTATCACTTACTTGTGCTCAAGCAGAGACTCACACATTTTTTCTGACTTGCTTAAGCTGCAAGACAGACAAAAACAAGGAAGAACAGCTCCTGCTGCAGCTTTAATTTAATGGGTTAAATGCCATGTTCACAGGAACTGACCTCCCCCAGCTCACTTCCGACCACCACTGCGGTTGGTGAGTCAAAGCATATAAACGTGGCAAATGCCCGTGGAGGAGTGTGCTAAGCACAAGTCACAGGAGATTACTGCTGGCTTTGACTTTCAAACCCTCTGAAAGGCAACACAGAGGATGTGGATGCTTTAGAAGCCTGAATCTTCTGAAACAGAAAAGAGAAAGCTAGATAGTGGAATCACCGATTCTCAGAATGGTTTGGAGTGGAAGGCACCTTAAACAAAAACCATCTTGTTCCAGCTCCCTTCCACTAGACCAGGTTACTCAGAGCCTCATCCCACCTGGTTTTGGACACTTCTGGGAATGGAACAGCCAGAGCTTCTCTGGGCAACCTGTGCCAGGACTTCACCAACCTCACAGAGAATTTCTTCCTAACATCCAACATAAACCTAAGCTCTTTTCGTTTGAAGCCATTCCCCCTTGTTCTATCACTACATACCCCTGTAAGAAGTCCCTCTCTAGCTCTCTTGTAGGCCTCTTTCATATTTTTATAGAGATTTTTGTTTAGGTATAGAGTGATTTTAATGCAAGAACAGTCAGTAACAGCCATAACATGTCATGGAAACCAACAAAAACACAGTTCTCAGGACACAAACTCACAGTCTGCTTCACAGTCTGAGAAGGGAAATGGGGGACCACAAAAAGTGACAATAAATGCAATTCTATCAGCAAGAGATGGAGCTTGCTAGAAGATTTACATCAAATGTCTTCAAAATGTTCAAAGCTTCTTCTTCCCCTATCCTGCTCTCCCATCAGAATCTCCACAGGAAATAATAAAGGATGAAGCAAAATCTAAAATTTTTGAATGAATGCTGCATTTCAGGGCAGACTCGATCTCTGAGGAGCCACAGAGGGGCTGCTGCTTTGGGTTCTTACAAAAAACACAGTGCTGAGAAGCCCTGCCAAATCCCTCAGTCCGAGCAGGGCTGCCAGAAATTTGGTATATTCAGTTCACCTCACACCACTACAGAAACACAGACACAAAAAAAAAGCTTTTCACAGAGAGAATTGCATCACTAAATTCAACAAATTTGTGCATGTAAAGCACAAGAAGGACCAAAAGTTTCCCTAGACCTATAACACTACTACTTGGGATTTTTGGATTTGCTGTACTTTCATCCTGTTCTGACTAATTTTAACTGCCTTAGGAGAGGATGCTTTCTCTAACAGATGTTTCACAGCATCTCTAGTGTCACTACTGAACATCATTACCATTGTATCTTCCATAAACCTGCAGCAAAATACCCTGCCTTTATTCTCATTAGATTCTCCTAAAGTACATTCCTGCAAGCTAATCCAAATAAAGGCTGTGCTTTACCAGCAAGCATTGGCACACACTTTACATCTCTCATCATCTGAATCACAACAGGCATATTCTGGAGAAAGGAGTTTTCAGCTCTGGCTTCTGCTCTTCTTGAACAGGTTTTTACATAAAAGGAGTAAAAACCTCTTTTACACACTCATATCTGTCATTGCAATCTTGTTTTTACTGCCCAATCCAAAACAGCACCTAATCCAGGTACCTCTGCAAAGCTCTTCCAACATTCCTCTGCCTCTGGGACATTTCACACTTGATCCTGCAGCCAGGGATTTCTCCACAACTGCTTTAAATAAACCATTCACAGAATTCTAATTACTCATTTAATCTTTATTTTCATTTATTTTCATTTAAAGAATTAGCTTTTCAACAGACCTACATCAAGCCTTTCCTCACAACAATAAAGCACACTCCTTGGCCCACCCAATGCTCTCCAGACAGGGTACTACAGCACAGCCCTCAGTTTCTATCCTGCATGTAAATTTAAAAACTTCACCCTCCAGACTCACTTTTGTCCAGCCAGAAGCCCTGCTGGCACTTTTAGTCCTACATGAAGCAGGAATGTAGTGTCAGTCCAGGCTCTCTGGTCCCCCACCACTGCAGGGGCAGCTTGGGCACCAGGCCCTTTCCCTCACACGTGGCTTAGCTGGCAAGCTGCTCTTAAAAATTGGCTATAAAAGTGATTCTTCAGTGTTTACATTACATTTATATAATTACAATGGTCAGAAGAGTTCTGAGTGACAGAAATGAGGAGCTTCAACACCTAATTCTTTATTGCAGCCCTACTCAACAGAGATGTGCAAACCAAATTCCTGACAAAATCTTGGTACTTACCCAATGACAAGGTAAAGGAAAGGCAAAAATATAAGCATGTCTCAGAAATCCTGCTGCTAAAAAGGCATTACATAAAACTTTACACTGGGTAAAGGAAAAAAAACAGACAAAAAATCGAGCAGGCACTTCACTCAGAAGGAAAATGAGAAAGAAAACAAAGTAAAGCACCACAGAATATATTCTCCTCCAGGACTAACAACAGGCACAATAAAGCCCCGAAACAAAAATATTTTTCTTTCCTGTATGAAACAGGATGTGGTACTGCAGTTAGCAAGCACTTACCTTCAGGTCCTGGGGTTATTGGTACAAAGTTTTAAAAAAAAGGTCTGGTGTTTTTACTGACTGTGTTTTAATTGAGCCCCCTGTTAACATCCACACTGAGGACACGCCTCTGCTGCACAGCCCCAGCCTCCCTCCAGTCACAGGAGTCAGCCCCAAACTACAATGCTGTGCAGATTTATCAGTCTTTTCTGTCACTCTGTTTTGCTAATAAACTTCTAAGTGATTATAATTTAAATTCTGCTGGAGTATAGATGAGGACTGATGGATTTTGGGGGGCTTGAGAGGTTTTTTTTTAAGTAGTTATATATGTCCTCTCATGTGGTTTAACACAAATATTTTAATTTCTAGATCTGTGTCTGCAGTGCTGCTGATAATGAACTATGCAGTCAATGTCCTGAACCAATATCAACATTGTGTGCTTTTCCACAGTATCACAGGATCATGGAATGATTAGGAATGGAACAGATCTCTGAGATCACCATCTTGAACCATCAATCCCCCCACCACCTGCATGTTCACCACTAAACCATGTCCCCAAGCGTCACCTCCACACATTTCTGAACACTTCCCCTTTTTGAACACTCCACTGCTGTTCTGGGCTTGGCCACCTTTTCAGTGAGGGAATTTTCCCTGGTATCTAACCTAAATATCCTCTGGCTCAAGCTGAGGCTGTTTCATCTTGTCCTGTCATTCGTTAACTGGGAGAAGAGACTGACACCCACCTATCTGAGTGGCAAGTCTCAAGTTCTCTCATGATGTTCTGTGACAATCTTGTACCAGAGTTATTCTTTCTTATTTTGTTCATATTTGTATCCCTTTGGAGAGTATCAGTCTGGCCTTAGGTTTCATCTGTCAGTTGAGTCGGACTCAGGTGCCCAGCAGTAACTTTTGCATTAGCATTTCTAAAATACCTCAGAATTTGGGCATATCTTTACGGATCTGGTCCCAAACTTTGGCATTATGATTTCAAGCTTCCAGTGACATTCCCACAAGGCACACAGGAAACAGATTTCCAACTTGAAAACAGCATGTTTAATTTCTGTCTAGGGCTGGAGACTGTCCATTGGTAAGCAAATTCCTGCATTTAGCCATAGTCTTCTCAATATTTACATTTGGCCTGCTCTTCATATTGACATACAGAAAATAGACATTAGGGGATACTGAACATCAAATCCCCATAAACGGAAGGCAATTACAAACTTTAATGATCTAACAAAATATAACAAAGAGGCTGTGAAAATCTCATTCTCCTGGAGGAATCATTTAGCTGACTTTCCCCCTGAAATGGCATGGCTTAATTAGGCTAAAATAATCACCACAGTAACTTTCTGTGACACAACATCAAAGGTAGAAGAGAAAAACCCCTGAGATTCTCCCATCTAGTAAGAAAAGCAGGTTAGATGACATAAAAAGACTGAGGCACAAAGAGTGACAAAGTAAAGAAGAAGGAGCCTGGGGTAGGTGTCAGCCAGCCTGACATTGCAGGAGACAAAAGCCCTGCCAGAACGCTGCTCACAGCACACATCAGGAGGTTCAGACATCACATGGGGCTGTCAAACGCTGTTCCTTTACTCGAGAGAGGGAGGCAAGAAAGGATGAGCAGCCAGACGCATTCTTGGGTGCACACAAGTCTTGTCCTACTTTTGTGTGATGAAATGCAAAGCAATTTGTTTAACTTCAGCAGCAGATTTCAAGACTTAATTCCTGCGTTGGCCAAGGTGCAGATGCCAAGGTCCAGATATCAAAGTCCATCTTAAGTTGTTGCAGATGCCTGATTTAGAAGGGGAAAGGAGGACTGGTTTTCATTCATATATTTCATTACAATTAACATGAAACCCAGAATTCATTCATTTGTAAGACCGTGTTTTGCTTTGCTTTCCTCTTTTGCAAAAGGATTCATTGAAGATAGAAGATAATGGGCCTTTTTCCCCTTTTTTCTGAGCTCAGGATTGAGTATTGAGCAGATAACATGCACAGGGTAAAAATTAAAGTAAGTACTAGAAACAGACTAGAACTCTGTCTAAGGAAGTTTTAGTTATAGCAAAGTATTTCTCATGATGATTTTACCCTTATCATTCTCATCCTAGCCAGGTGAGCAGAAGTAAGGGCATTTCTCTGACTCACAGGACAAGTCCCACACACCACCACTATGGGACCCTTCAGCACAGCAGCAACATTTCTACTTATCTTTTCCTCCCCTTGCCTCGTCCCCATTCAAACTCACTTTGCATCTCCTGTTTCTGGTTATTAACTCGGTTTAGCTCTGGTCTCCAGTTTTAGTCTGGCTGATTCCACCACGACACAGGGATGCTTTCCCACAGACAACTCCTGGTCTCCCAGAAGGGAACACCCCATACAGAACTGATCCCTCTGCAGTGTCCTCAGAGATCAGCCAAAGGCAGCTGAGCATGATGTGCAGTGTGTAGCTACAACTATAAATTCATTTTCACCACGGATTTCCTAAGTTGAAGCTATCATTTTGCC